CAAACATCCATCCATCCATCCATCCATCCATCCATCCATCCATCCATCCATCCATCCATCCATCATCTTTACCCATTTCTTTCATTTTTTGGACTCGGGGGTTGCTGGTGCCCATGTCCTGCCATCACTGTGCGAGGGGCGGGGACACCCTGGACAGGTCTCCAGTCCATCACAGAGACACATAGAGACAAACAACCATTCACTCTCTCACTCACACCTAGGGACAATTTAGAGTTACCAATCAGCCGAACATGCATGTTTTTGGTCTGTGGGAGGAAACCGGAGTACCTGGAGAAAACTCACGCATGCATGAAGAGAACATGCAGACTTCACCCAGAAAGGCCCCTGGACCAGGATTTGTACCGGGGCGACCTGCTCGCTGAGGGGCAGCAGCTCTACCAACTGTACCACCGTGCTGCCCGACTTACATAACATTATAGGCTTATTAAAAGAAAACTACAAAATGGTGGCGCCTGTCCGAAGTACTTTTTGTTTTTGTTTTTTGTCCTGCTCCTGTTAACTTTTTATCCGTCCCAATCATGTGAGTAATATTAAAGTTCACAATCATGTGTCGTGTATTACGTTGAAAACGAGTGAGTCCACAAATGTCGAACCGCGAAGTATCAAGGGTCGATACTTCGTGGTCTGACATTCACGAACCGCAAACATTCATGGGTTTTAAGTAAAATTTTGCACACAGCTCCACTAACAGTGTTGGCTGATATACCAAAATTATTCAAAATTATAAATATTATTAGAATTTAAGCATGTGCAGCACAAAAAAACAAATCTGTTATTGTTCATTAATACTTTATCTATGAATTTGGACATGCATGCCCATCAAAGGGGTGCTGCAGCACCCTTTGCACCACTACTTCCCACGCCCTTAAACAAATGTTTTGTCTTCATTTGAATACTGTTCCACTGCATGACCAGCCTGGGAATGTCAGGTCGTATTACAGGAACAAGATGACAGTGCAAAAGTAACCGTGTTAATGCTGAGCCTTCTGGCTTGTAGCTGACAGCTGCTGGGTGAGGTCGCAGCACAGATCTCTAACGGCATAAAGACTTTAAAAGCATTAACGCCTGCAGGAACGCAAACTGCAGCTCAGAGCTGCACACAAGGGATGAAGCTAAGTGAGTCTGAGACACGAGACGGACGCAACATGAAGAAATTCAGCTGAAACTTATCAAAGAGATTTGTTTTTTAATTAACGTATTCAAGCTAATGAATCACCGAGTGAGAATGCGATTACATTTTAGGTCCTTGTGGGGTGTTTAATGATTGAACGATCGTTTGGAATGTGACTCCTACACACACCTAACCCGTCCCTGCTTTGTGTCCCACAAACAAACCCATTATGAAGTGACCACATTCAGACACACTGATCCACAGATTAGACAGCAGACTGGTGGGTGAAATATTTGCTTATATGCTCACGTCTGGGACCGAGACATCTGAATGAGTTAGAAACTTGCGGTTTACTTCCATTATGACTTTTCTTCCTGTTTGAGAGATAAAATCTTAAATTATATGTCACATCTGAGAGATTATTTTAATGTTGTGCTGAAACGTTTTGAGCTTCAGTGCTTTAAAGAAAGCAAGGCTAAAGAAAAGCACCATACAGCTTTTTTTATTATTATTATTGCATGCACATGAAAGGAATGAAAGTTTTTGCCTGTTTCTGTTATCAAAACATCTTATAAACCACCCGATAAGATTTAAACGACTCTCTGGAAATTCGTCTCTGGATGTTTGCCTACAACTGATTAACTTTTACAGTCAGTCCAAGTCAAGATGGCTGCCACAGTGACGCACCCTCAGCAAACACAAAAATAAATACAACTCAGACAGTTTTACAGATACTGAACTCAAATTTGGTGGGGTAGTAGCTGAGAGTTATCCGTATACTCTGAGATATAACTGATTGCACAAGATCTATTTTTTTAAAACTTAGCCAATAACTAAACTTTGTCTGTTTGACTGGATAGATTTTCAATTCAGTTCAGTTCAGTTTAGAGCCAAGTCGCAACAGAAGTCGTCTCAGGTCACTGAACAGAAACATTCATATATATAAAAATAGGTTCACATTATTTTTCTGAGGAGCAGACTGCTTTGAATTTAACTTCATCACAAAGCTCTCATCTTGAGCAAGCATGAAGGCAGTATTGGAAAGGAAAAACTCCCTCATGAGGAAGAAACCTTTAGCAGAACCAGGCTCAGGACAAGTGGTCATCTGCTTCTAAGAAAGAAAAAGAAAGTAAGAAAGAAAGGGTATTGGTCCAAGCACTGAACCCTGTGGAACTTCATGACTAACTTTGGTGTATGGTGAAGATTCATTATTTACCCCACATTTTTCAGTCAGATCATCTGGACAGTTTCTTTTTTTTTGTGCTGAAACGTTTCGCCTTTGATCCGGAAGGCTTCATCAGTCAAGGAAACACACAACAAAACTGATTCTTCCCCCAACAGCTTACTCCAAAGTGGAACAAACCAGTTCTGCTCATGATAAGATGGTCTCTTTGGTACGCCCCATCCTCCATTGCCGGCCCTCTTCCTTGTTGACAAGGAAAACAGGGCCGGAAAAAGCACCCACACCTGCTCCCACCCTCATTCACCCCACTCTGGGCCCATGAGCAAGGCCCTTAACCCCCATCTGCTCCCTAAGCAAATCTCTCTTGAAAAAGAGTTCTCGTGGCTCATTGAAACT